TGTTCCACATCTCGATAACAAATAAATTAAAGTTTCACGCCCGAATATATAACACTTGGTCGTTTTCTTGTAAATTCATACCAACACATGTGATGAATAGCAATGCAGTTCCACCCGTTACAAACGCAACATTTGCTAGTTAGACGGTCACTGTGCCAAAAAGTGGGAAAAATAACCCGAACGGAGCGATTTCGACTTCCCGATACTATTACTACATGTCAAAGAGAATCAACCGAGAGCAAATCATACCACAACGCTAAGACTGCCATTATAGGGAAGCAACGGCTCCTGGCGACTAGTAATCGATAATCCATAATGGATTACACACCGTCCGAGTTCATTAGTCGTGAATATCAGCGACTGTACAGTGTACACCGTCAAGTCTATTGAAATTATTACATCTCATGAAAATGCTAAGGTATGACGATTCGACAGAAGCCCACTAAGCACGAAAGGGTGATATATCCCTACCGTGACTTAAACTGATCAAGTTCAAGTAATAAGATCTTCCTCTTGTTTGAGAGTGGACTTAGAAGCCTTAGAAGTGACCTCCTCCTCCCCTTCAGAACCGCGTATACCTCGCAACCATCTATCGAGTATCGAACCAGAAGTAGCCGAGGTATCGTCTCCATCGGAAAAGATACGCTCGTTCATCCTGGCATTAGGTATCAACCAGAGAAAGAAGACGGATGTGGTACTCAAGCCTATCAGTATCAATGACACGATCCATAGGTTGTCAAACTGCTGCGATTCGTCAACACCAGGTAGGCCTCGTGGGACCACGCCTAAGGATTGGCTGATGAAGCCTGCAATAGGCTTCGTAACATTCTGGGCGTAGTTAGATAAGGATGCCAACAAGGCAAACATAGTAGCTTCCATATTCTTAGGGCATAAATGAGACAGTATAAGGAATCCTGGCATGAATTGTATCATAGATACCGCGGCCACTAGGGCTGTGCTGCCTATAGCGAAGACCTGATCGGGGATTCCGATACGGACATTAAGTCGAGAGAAGATGATAGGGTCGCCTAGTTGCAAGATCACCAACATTGCCGTCATCGATAGATAAACCGTCCGATACTTCCAACCCTTCATGAACTTACCGAAAGCAAAAAGGGCGAGAACTGAACAGAGTTGTCCAACGGCCCCCAGTACTGAACCGAAGAAAACGTCGGAGAAATGCGGTCCAGCGGGATACTGGATGGAGTCGTCGGTGTAGAAGTAGATCGAGGGACCACCAATAGCGATAATGGTCACTTGCGATATCGCATTGAACAACATCAACTTTCCGATCACTGGCTTCATCACAGCAAATGCCGAGCCAGTGAGGAACATCAGGCTCAAAAAGCCGGCCACGAAAGTGACCGTATTCGAGGCCGCTAACAAGCCGATGATAGAATAAGCCACGGCCATAACTCCGACCACAACCGACAGAATGGCAACAGTCGTCTGATTTCTCCACAAATGCTCACGATGAGCTTTGACTTCTTCTTTAGTCACTCGCTTCTCCTCGAAGAAGTTTAGCGTCGCGGGTATGATAACAGTAGAAGATGTGAAAATCGTTGTCAGAATTGCCCACTGTGCACCACCAAGGCCCCACACTCCATCGGCATTCTCAACAATGAACCCGACGAGCAGCGTCGCGATGAGACCCAGTAGCTGATTTCCGACCCAAACGTAGCTCACCAGAGCCGGTCCAGATTTGGGGACAGCTGGTAAGCGGCTAGAGTATGTTGCCTCAGCAAGCAGGTCATACCCCATCAACTGAAGGTTCGCCATGAAAAGCCCAACCGTCGCAATCGGCGCATTGCTCTCGACCAGGTTGAGAGATACTGCCAGGATGGTACCGACTAGACCGAGGACGCTTACGATCATCATGTAAGGGAGCTTGTGGTAACCAAAGATGGCAAAAGAATCGGATACCACGCCGAGCCAGGGCTTCATCGCCCAAGGCATGAAAACTACCGAAGAATATCGATCCATATCTGGACCACTCACGTTCATCGCACGAAAATAGAACGGAGTAACAACAGACAGCATGATGTAGCTATAACCCTTAGCCCAGTGGTTGGTAAAGTGTAGCATTG